TATTTAGAATACGGTCCCTCAAATAACCCAGTATAACCGATTTATTTCGCCCTGTTAATGCCAGTAATCCCAGGTAAAGACTCTGCCCACTCTCCCTCAGAATGCCCAGCTGATGGCTACAAAATCCTTGAACCCCTCCCCCACATTCTGACTGAAGGCTAAAGTGGATTTATTAAAATTAACCATCTGACCTGATACTTCTTCGTATTTTAATAAGATATTCTTCAATTCACTGTTGCACACTCACTGTTTGAGGCTTTAAAAACAAGAAGCTATCATCTGCAAAAAACAAGTGTGAAATTCGAGGTGCTCCGTGGCAAACCGAAACCCCATGAACCTCTCCCTTACTTTCGGCCTTCCTTAGCATGACACTCAACCCCTCCGCTACCAGAATAAATAGATATGGTGACAACAGGTCCCCCTGCCTCAGCCCCCTCTTTGGAATTATAGGACCCATAAACTCTTTGTCAAACTGAATATAGTAGGTCACCGTAGTAACACAGAGCATAATAATCTCCACCCATCTCTCACTGAAGCCCATTCGACACATAACCTTCCTAAGATAGTCCGAGCTGACTCTATCATAACCCTTGCTCATATCAAGCTTAAGACCCACATAACCATCTTTGCCTGAGTTCTTCCGTTTTAAATAATGTTGGGTCTCAAAAGGCACAATTATATTATCCACAATAGATCTTCCTGGTATAAAAGCGCTTTGATTTTCCCCAACTAAACCCCCCAACATGCCTTTAAGCCGGTTAGCTATGACTTTAGAGAATATTTTAAAAATCACATTGCATAACCCTATCGGCCTCTAGTCTCCCATATTCTCCGGTTTATCCTTCTTAGGAATCAAGCCAATATTAGTCACATTTAATTCGCTAGGTAACATACCTGTTTCGAAAATATTTACACATAAACGTGTCACCTCAGGTCCCATGACATCCCAAAAATTCTGAAAAAGCCGGGTTCATGCCATTGGATCCTGGAGCTTTCTCTGGATGCATATCAAACACTGCAGCTTTCACCCCCTCTGGAGTAATCGGCCTTAATAAGGCCATATTTTGGATCTCCGTTACCTGCTCCATATTACCTAGCTCGGATATATCAATGTCCTCGACATGTTGGAATAAATTCTAAAAATAGTCTCTCACCATTCCTCCAACACTGTCTCTATCAGTAACCCAAGATCCATCCTCTGTTCTTAAACCCATTAATTTATTTTTTCGACGTCTTTTCTTCACCGCATTATGGAAAAATCGAGAATTAATATCCCCCTCTTTCAGCCAGAATTCTTTAGCTCTCTGCTTCCAGTAAATATGCTCTTTCTCCATCAGGGACTGAATGACTGATTTGATCCTAGTAAACTCGGCTAAGCTAGTCGTGTCCTCCCGCCCTCTCAGCCAAGCCAATCTTTTTTGCAAGCAACAATTTGATGCTGAAAACCCTCCGGCCGTCGACTGTCCCACCAGAGCAATTCCTTACCACAAAAAACAATTCTCTCGCTAACCGAAACAGAAAAATCTTCAAATAAAACCCTGCGCAGTCGGATGAAACAAAGCCTGAACTTGCCCTGAACGTAAACCGACAACCGGGGAGGAAGAGCCGGCCGAGACCGCCGGAACCCACGGTCGAAGACGACCGCCGCCGGAAAGAGACTAGGCTAAACCTAGAGAGAGAATTACGTAACTTGGTTTCCCTTACGCGGTATAAATGTGAAAGTATAAAATGATATATTATTGCTTCATACTACTCTGTATTAGATTCCATATATAACATGTTTTATAAAAAGTATTTTTCTAATGGAAAAAATAATAAAAATACCCCAAACTTTGAAGGGGTGTGAGATAAGCACTCCAAACTTGCATTTCTAATTTAAATACCCCAAATTTTATATAAAATGTTGGGTTTTTTATAAGAATATTACTAAAATAAAAGTTATTTACATAAATATGACTATTCATTACTACAACATAGTGTTGTAGTAACTTAAGTTCAAAACTTGAACATGAATTACTATGATTTCATTACTACTCTAGTAACTAATCATATTTTTGTAAATCATCTTTATTTTGGTCATATTTATGTAATTATTTCTAAAATGTTATTTTCGCACCATTTTCATGTATTATTTCTCTCAAAAATGTAAATTTATGGGATTAATTGCATAATTTGAAATAGAAAAGTAAAAGTGTTGCAATTATATAGATTGGGTGTAATGTTATTTCTTTCTCAATGGAAGTTTAAAATGCTAATTGTGCCTTCAGGAATTCTAAAATATTTTAAATTATGCAATTAACACCATAAGTTTACATTTTTGAAAGAAATAATACTTAACTATGGTGCTAAAATAACTTTTTATTTAAAGTTTGGGGTATTTAAATTACATATGCAAGCTTGGGGTGCTCATCTCACACCCCTTCAAAGTTTGGGGTATTTTAATTATTTTCCCCTTTTCTAACCATTTTTTCTTTAAAACAACATCAACAACATCAAAGCCTTTTCCCCAAATTATTAATCAATTTTTTATTTGTAAGAAAATAAATCATCTAAAAAATTCTATCTTTTCACGCCTAGGCATCGCCTTTCGCGACAAGGATTACGCCTTTTCACGTCTGTCTACTATCAGCCTATCAGGGCGTTTTTACACCCCATGATGCCTAGGCCCCGCCTTTTGTCGTATTTTAGAACACTGGTCATACTACGTATTATAAATTAAATTAGATTAAATTTAAACAAATCAGACATGTTGAAGTCGGATCTGATAAATGTGTGATATATGCTTGCTTTACTGTTTTCTAAGTCTAGTTTGGTATTGCATGGTCTCATTTGTTTAAATTTAATCTGATTTAGTTTTACGTGGGACTATGAGACTATCTCCTATTTTCTAAATGTAATTTGTTTAAAATCAAGAAGATATGGTCTAATTTGTGTCACGGGCTCCTGATCGGAATCGCCTTGCGGAATACGTTGTTTGAGGTGGTTCTCATTGAATTTTTTTATGCAATTTTGTGAGAAGGCTTGTCATGAAGTGTAGATTATGTCCACAAAATTTTAGCTCAAAAGTCAATAGGAAAGTGAGTTAAATAAATTATTGAAAAACACTGCGCAGTTTATAGACACACACACACACACACACACATATATATATATCAATGCAGTTCTTTTCAATAATTTATTTAATTAACTACACAATTAATTTTTAACTTGAATTTTTGTGGGCATGATTTACACTTAATGAAGATCATTCTCACAAAATTTCATAAAAAAAAATTCTATTATAAACCACCTCAAATGGCAAAAATCGCATGGCAACTCCGGTCAGGAGCTCTTGATATGATGGATTGTTCTCAAACAAAATATGTTTTTAAAACAATTCAAATTAGATTTAAATAGATTAGGAATGTTTTTACTTGGATTGTTTTCAGTTCCAGACGAGACTTGGATAGTTATGAAATACATAGAAACCCGATTTTACCAGACCAGACTACACCATTTCATACTAGACCAGATCAAATCAGACCAAACTAGATCAGACCAGACCATAAAATTTCAATCCAAGTAAGAGCATCCTAGATAATGCAATATCATACTAGACTTAGAAAATAGTAACATATGCATATATCAGACGTTTAAGAGATCATAATTAAACATGTTATATCAGATCTAAATACAATGTCAAACCAGATCAAATATTTGTTTTTTAAATTTTCTACATGTGAAGCATTTGTCGGATGAAAAATCAGATAAAATTATTCAATGTAAACGTCTTTTCATTCTTATGATTCACTTATCCCCACCTAGACTTCAAAGGTTTGAGACTTGACTATGACGCTTTACCATGTCTCACACCTTATAGAAGTATGACACATAAAAGAAGTACTCCCTCTGTTCTTAAATAATAGCCTGCTTAGTCTTTTTGTGATTTTTAAGAAACAAATAGTAGGAATAGTATGTGTATGGTAAATGATGAAAAAAGTAGGAAATAGAATATATTAAGAAGAGTAAAGTAATGATAGATAGAATAAAGTAAGAGAAGTAAAGTAATGATAAAATAGGAAAGAGAAAAAACTTACTAAAAAGGAAAAGAATGATAAATAATTAAAAACATTCCAAAGGGAATACGAGACAGTAGAATGGAGGGAGTATTGTTTAAAGATTTTATGAAATGTACCTGTATCTTTTACTACGTATTTTTAAAAAGGGATAATTTGAGTTTGCACTCCATTTTATTATCCAAATTGGACTTTGTACCTCGTTTCTAAAAATCTTTGTTTTTGCACTCCAACCCCATGTAAAAAGACAAAAATGCCCATCCATTTACAATTATGTAGGCCTTCAACATATTCCTGATCGAGAGCATTTTTGTTTTTTCATATGGCGTCGGGGTGCAAAAACAAAGTTTTTAAAAAACGGGGTGCAAAATCCAATTTAAACAATAATATGGAGTGCAAACTCAAATTACCTCTTTGAAAACCTTGGCATGACCAAAAAAGTAAGAGAGATTTGCCAAAATAGGACTAAATAGAGTTTATATTTTTAAAATAGAACTGCTATGTTTTTCTTTCCAAAATAGGATTAAGATGACAGTATTTATTGTCACCTTTTAGTCATGATTATCAAATATAATGATGTGAAATGCAGTACTATGCATTCAACATCATTATATTTATCATCATTAATACAATATTTTTCAATCTAACGACTTATGTTTCGAAAAATGAAAATATAAGGAGAAAATTGCTTCCTCTTACTCCGTACTTCGTACTACCTCCGTTCCATTTTATGTGTCTTAGTTTGACTTGACACGATTATTAATGAAGTGTTTGAAAAAGTAAAAGTTATGGTTGAAGTTTGAGTATAATAAAGTGAAATGTTGTAGACCACATATTTCTATCCAAAAAAGGAAAATAGACACTTATTTTGGGGCAATTTAAAAAGGAAAGTATGACATATAAAATGGGAGGGAGAGAGTATTATTCAGGGCAGTTTCCAAAAAAATAGGACAAAATTCTCTAGGTCCGATCAAAGATGGTGCGCTTAGCATTCTTTATGGCGCGCGGAGAAGACCTGAATTTCTATCAAGTCAAAGCAGCCTAAGATAGTAAGATCTGCCCATCCAAATTATTACGGTCTATGCAAACGGCAACTCTGAAATTGGGATTGCTTAAGATCGGAGCAAAAACAGAATCAGCCCCAATCATAAATCAGCTAAGCAACGCCTCTACCTTTCCGCCTCTTCGGATCGCAACTGTCACAGAGACGAGAGGCGAGCTCAACGCACACCGCCATCAGTAGAACAATCGGATTTCGGCCGCGCTACTCATCCATCCAGCCAGGTAAAACGACGCAAATTTCTAGTTAAGCTTTAACTTTATCCTTTCTTTATCTCATAAATTTTTCAATCCAATTAATAATTCAAGAAGTACAAATTCAAGGATGTAATGAATTCCATAGACCAACCACTGTCATATTCATTGACATGTAAATTCAAACTTGTTTCATTTTATGCCAGAGGTCAGAAGAGGTGATATTGGTCGCAGCCCCTAACTGTTATTGGTGCGATTAAAGGAATGCACACATATTTGTGCAAACGAATTTAGGTGTGATTATAAAATTTCAAAATTTCATGAACCATCTTTTAGAAAAGCTAATATGGTCAGTGATCAAATTAGTACTTAAGATGTGTTTGGCATTAAATTTTTAAAGAACAACTGTGATTTAAGCCTATGAAATCCCTTAAAGAACAGTTGTGTTTTTTTGACTGTAATGATGTGTTTTTTGTACTCCGTATTTGAATTTAATGAAAACTCTTATTCATGTAAAGTAACTGTGATATTTATTTCTGTACTTTACTTTTTTCTTTTCTGTAATTGAAGTATTTTATACTACATACGTATTAAATTTTTGGCCCCATTAGATTGGAATGCTGGATCTGCCCATGGTTCCGAACTCCATTTATCCCCCCCCTCTGGATCTGTAAAGATCTGAACCCTACTTAATTTCATAATTTTATATAAATACTTTTATTGCTGTTATATTAGAGCCCATTTGGTAAGATTAAAATTGGTTCAAGGGGATGAATATGCTAAATTGCTATGGAAACACGTAAATTGCATGCAATAAGCTTTCATTAAATTTAGAGATATTACCCGAAATAGGACTAAAAATGTTCCAAAATTCCAAAATAGGACCGCCATGTTTTTATTCCCAAAATAGGACTTATTACTGTCATGTTTTGGCAATACCAGACTTCAAACATGGCAGTATTTTTCAAACTTGACAGTAATTGCTCCTATTTTGGGAATAAAAAACATGTCAGTCCTATTTTGGAATTTCCAAACTGTTTTAGTCCTATTTCGGGAACTTTCCCTTAAATTTAAGTATTTAACCAATACAGTCAAAAGAGTACCTCAATCCTTGCTTTTGCATCATCTACCAAATTAGGTCTAGAGGTCAAGAAATTTATGTTTGGTAAAAGGGGTTTGATTAAGACAAAAAATAAAACTACTTCCCACTTAATATTTATGTAGTGATAATCTATTTTTGTATAATATTATAATTTATAAGGCTATGTGGCCATTTATGTTGATATTTTAGTCAATCAGCGTTTAGTTTTTATTTAAACATGGTAAATTTGTCCATATGAATGTCCAAGTGTATATAACACTGTTAAAACTGAGGTATGGCTTTATGCATATGAGCATATCAACCAATCACGTTTTTAAATTGCAGGTTTGTCTGTTTGTGTAGGAGTGCAAATGTGCATTCACTTGAAATCTTTGTTACTGTGTATTCATCTAAAAGCTGAAAAATACTACTGTTTTTAGATTTAATTTACGGCTATAGTTATTATAAATTTTAACAGAAACATAACTACTCAAGGAAAGTAGAAAAGGAAAACTATTAATTCATTTTAATAACCAAAAGAGCTACACTGGTCTTTTACATCCGATATTGATTATGAATGCTCTATTGATAATGACAGAGTACTTAATGAATTGATTCTCTGAATAGCCTATCATTTTTTCTATATTACTTTTGAATTTATTGTATATTCCATATTATTTACGATTGTTCCTTGTGCTTTGGAACTTACTATGTATTCACTCTCTCAATTGACATTTGTGGTCAGCCCCACATAGTTTAAGGTCCATTTTACACCGCTGCCAACACACTATAAGGAGATGGACAAGGTGATGAACATATTGAAGCCAAAGCCGAACCCTCAACAAACTTTGAGGGATTGGCAGCGTAAACTTCGCCAGGAGTGTCGCAACATCGAACGGCAAATCCGAGGTAACAGTTTTCTGCCTGCTAATTTGTCCCGCACTCCCGCTAAGTTCATTACCACAGCTTCTATGATCTTATGATTGGATTTGATCAGATATAGAGAGGGAAGAGAAGAATGTACAGAAAGCAATCAAAGAAGCTGCAAAGCGAAATGACATGAATTCTGCTAAGGTACTTTCATTTTTACTGCTAGCTTTGCCACTGCTGATCTTGAACCTTTTGCTTATTTTTATGATTATAGTATCTAGAGTCTTTGTTTCGTGGTAATGATCCCAGATCCCATTAGAATTTTTGTAGTTGTAATTTTAGAATTTTCAGTACTCGGTAGTTTGTTGTAGTAATTATATAGGCTGAAAATATGTTTTCACATTTTATCGTTTGCAATGGGAATTCCAACCTGTTTAATCGTTAGTTCCGTAGTGAACATCAGAACATCTAAGTTATTTTGGATCCTGAGAAATGCTTGTGAAAGGAAAACAAAATCTAAGGAAAACTATTAGACGTTTTCACATTTTGTGATTGGTTTTACCGGCCAAAGTGAAAAGGAAAATGAAATATGATTAATGTTTTACTTTTTTCTTTTACATATACTTTAGATGTCTTGGTCTTTATGTAGGAAATATTAATAAAATGAGTTTGAATAAATATAAAAAATAAATTTATTGAGTTTGAAGTTTGAACAAATGTTTTATCTTGTCTCACATTTTCCTTCCTTCCAAGTTTCTTATAAATTTTCCTCTCTATCGTGTTTTCGTAGCATTTCCCGACTTTAAAACAGACCCCACATGTTCCCCAAGTTAAGTGTTCCGTTTTTCTCCAACTAATGACTATCATCTCAGGCACTTGCAAAGGAAATTGTGAGATCTAAAAGGACCGTGAACAGGATGCATGAGAATAAGGCACAGCTTAATTCAATATCTATGCACCTTGGAGAAAGTGTTGGTATGGTCGTCGTTACAGAATCTGAGTTAATACTTTGTATGTGTTGTTGGTTTGAAGTGTGGTCCGTTCTTAGGCCTTTCAGGAGCATATCATGATGCATTTGTCTTGGAAATGTATCCTCTTGAAGCACATTTGTCTAATTTCACATTTGAGCTGGATGCTATCTTTTTTGTTAGTCAGTAGGTATAACACACAGCATATCTTGTGTTTTTTACACAAGCGTAGTTGACTTGATATAGGAGTATCCTTTGCCAAAGAAGGTTATGTAGAATTCCATGAAGGCAATGAAGGTGAAAGTTGAGTACAAATTGCCTATTTCTCTATTTAGTTAGTTGGGAGGTTTCCTTCTAATTGTATTGGAAAGCTTGTAGTGGAAAGATTTGCACTAATATGATAACTGTTGAAGTGTAGGATGAGTTATAGATTTATTCAGTTGGTTGAAGTAGTCAAATTGTAATATAAGAAATTGATTGGTGTGAGATAATTTGAATAAGCTTTTCTATCTTCTTTGTTTTTTTGCTACCTACTATCTTAAGTAATCTCTTAATATATTTGTAGCCATTGCTCGCACAGTGGGACATTTGTCTAAGAGCGCCGAAGTAATGAAGCTTGTGAATAATCTTATGAAGGCACCTGAAGTGGCTCGTACAATGCAAGAATTCAGTAAAGAAATGACCAAGGTACATTTATCTTATTATATTGATATAAGAACAGCCGTTTTTATCATTAGTAGTGTTCATATATGAGTCAGTTTTCCACATTCTGAGACATCTTCAATTTCTAATATCCTTACTTAAGCTATTGGACTTATTGGGGGAAATTTTTTCATTTGTGGAGTATTTGGGTGACACTTAAACTTGGGAAATCATTTCATTAAATTAGATGCCAGCACTTGACATACTCATACACTTTATAATGAATAGTGCCAATTTTAAAACTTGGGAAATCCTTTCATTAAATTAGATGCCATCACTTGACATACTGATGCACTTTATAATGAATAGCACCAATTCTATAATTATTGGAGTGAGGTGTTCTAGTACTCTCTGGAAAGATGGTTTGAGCCTATCATCTTTGTTATGCAGTCTTCGTTGCAAACTTCTTTATATACGGCGTATTTTTCAATCTTTTTGTGATGGGCTACTTGTAGTCCCAAATTTGTTTTTTGAAATGAAATATTTCTGTGAAGCAACCAAGGTAGTTGTTTTGTGCATTGCCTTTTATTCCTATCACTACTTTAATAAGAAAGGTAGATCCCCACTGTCTTATAATACTATTTGCCACACAAGAGGCGGGGGTCAGATCTAGAAATTGACCCTAAAAAAGAGTTTGGTTTTAAAATACTTTTTAATCGTGTGTTTTTGGATGTGCTTATTGTGTATGCAATGGGCGTATCCATCCATAGATGCCATTGGCTCATTGTGCAAGTTTTTGTATTGCTTAAATTGAGATACGCCTCCCATTGTGAATAGGCAAAAAATCTCAAGGCATGCCTTGAGGCAGTAAGGCATTACGCGACTTAAAAGAATGATTAATCTTCAACTCAACTTTTTTCATTAACCTTTCCCTTTTTTTGGATGAAATGTAAGTCAATCATCATTCATCAATCATCATTTACCCCAGTGCCGCAAAGGCTCCCACCTACAGTGGGGTAAGGGGGTCGGATGTACGCAATCTTACCCCTGTACTTTTGGTGAGCCATTTTTCTTTATTCCATCATATTCTCAAGCCAAAAAATAATGAATCTTTGGCCCCATTGCAAATGATGGAAATTGGATGAAATGTAAGTATATATAAAAATCTATCCAAAAGTAACACAATACAATGTATAAAAAAATAATATCTAAGCTAAATTATTCCCAAAAACCCAGCAAAAAATCAGAAGCTAGCACAGGACATGCCCTGAAATAGTATTGATCAAACAATTCAAAAACTCTCAAGAACAGATGGGCCTGAGCTAATTAAAGCCCCAAGCCCAGCGCACAAGCCATAGTCCAAGCGTCCAGGGATCCAAATAATTCCCTATCTGCATCAATCTGCCCGCAGCCCAATGAGCAAGTCCAGTCTTCAGCACCTATCTCCAGCAGCCCGTCAACAGACCAGCCCACTAGGGTTAGCACCAGTTCCCTAGTTAGCATAATAATTCCCTTTTCACTTCTTGATGTTCTTTCTCCCTCTTTCCCTTGTAATTTCTTAATGTGCAGGCTCCATCGCTCTTGGTTGATGATTCAGACATTCAGTGATATTATTATGCTATACTTTATACTTCTGGCAACCTCCATGTCAACATAATATGTCAAGCATATAATTATCACCATCATCCTCATGGATCTCCATACTTCGAGGGCCTATTTGACGCTTTTCTCTTTATTTTATATCCAACTATTATAACTTGCATTTGGTCTTTGCAAGTGATTGGGCAAAGGTTTCGAAGAAGTGTGGGGGTTTCAAATAATCGATTCGGTATATGCCCGGTCGCTCACTTCAACAACTCAGGTCATTTACCTTCATAGGCAACGTATAGAGAAGTATAAAGTATAAAGTCATGAACAAGGATTTGCATTTGATGTTCATTGACTTAGAAAAGGCGTGTGATGGTACCTCGAGAAGTCATTTTGTGTGCCTTAACTAGAAAAGACAATATCGTGTAAGTATGTCAACATCATCATTGATATGCATGAGGATTGTACTGCAAGTGTACATACTAGTGTAAGGAGAATGACAGAGTTCCCTATTACTATTAGAGTGCATCAAAGATATATCGTGGTACATGATATTATGTTGATTGATGAGACAAGAACATGTTTTAAAGTAAAGTTGAAAGTATGGCGACAAACTCCGGAGAACAAGGGTTCCAGTGTAGTTGAAATAAGATTGAGTATATGTAGTGTAAGTTTAATGGAGGTAGAAGCAATGGTATTATGGTAACAGTGGGATTATCATAAATGGTAAAGAGATATCAGTTAGTGATATGTTCCATTACCTAGGCTCCCTAATTCAAAAGGATGGTGAGTTAAATGGAAATGTATCCCATAGAATCAGAACAGAGTGGATGAAATGAAAGAGTGCGCCATGATTTCTATGTGATCGAGGTGTGCCAACTTGATTAAAAGGTAAGTTTTATCGCACAACAATTAGGCATACATTATTGTATGACGTAGAGTGTTGGTTGTGAAATAACACCTTCAAAAGATGAGTGTGTTTGAGATGTGCATGCCGCGTTGAATGTGTGGACATATTAGAAAAGACGTCTTGGTGAATGAGACAATCGGGTAAGAGGTGGGAGTAAAACTTATCAAAGATAAGTTGCGAGAGTTTCAGATGTCGTTGTTTGACTATGTGCATAGAAGATTGAGTGATGCACATATTAGATTAATTGAGAGGTGTGGAGAAGAGACGAGAAGGAAGGGAGAGGAATACTCAAAGAAACGTGGATTAGAGGAGTCAGGAATGATATAGTACTTTGCTTGGGTTGGATGAGGGGTATGCCTTTGGAGAGAGCGAAATGGAAGAAGAGTATACACGTGGAGGATTGATTTTATTTTATCTTTTCTATTGATTTATCTTCTTTATGTTTTCGATCTTTTTATCTTATCTTATTTTATTACGGAGTATCATGCTGATAGGACTGTCTAGGGTTTTCTGAAGAATTACAGAAAGAATAACAAGAAAACAGTTGAATCTCTATATTGATGGAGTTGATTGATTACAGAAAGAGAGTAGGAAATCAATGACCAAAGCCCCCAGATGAGCCGAAGCCCCCCTAAGAGAAACAAATAATTCTCAATCTTCCCAGTCAAGTCTAAACGGTCAAAACAGCCTCCTCAACCCTTCCTAGCCCTCTTCTATTTATACTCAACTAATACACTTATTATTATTAATACTCTAATATTATCTTATCTTATTTTATTACGGAGTATCATGCTGATAGAACTATCTAGGGTTTTTGAAGAATTACAGAAAGAATAACAAGAAAACAGTTGAATCTCTATATTGATGGAGTTGATCGATTACAGATTACAGAATGAGAGTAGGAAATCAATGACCAAAGCCCCCAGATGAGCCGAAGCCCCCCAAAGAGAAAGAAATAATTCTCAATCTTCCCAGTCAAGTCAAAACGGTCAAAACAGCCTCCTCAACCCTTCCTAGCCCTCTTCTATTTATACTCAGCTAATACACTTATTATTATAATACTCTAATAGGCCCGGTCCCTTATTATTAGTATTAGTCTATTAGGCCCAGGTTCCTATCAATACTCCCCCCTAACATCCACCTTGCCCTCAAGGTGGTTGATAGGACACAACCACAATCTTCCTCTTTTCTTTCATCCTGGCACCTCTCCCTTTCCAATACAAGATGGATTTCTGGATCCGTAGCTTGGTTGCTTCCATCTTCTTCCCTATGCCTTTCAAAACAGAGTTACACCGCTGCCAGGACATTTTGTTCAAAACTTTGACTCTTGCAGATTCTGTGCAAACCAAGGTGCAGCCTGTTGCAACAGAGGGGACCACAACTTCATGCTTTTGAACACTTTCTCCTTCAATCTCCTTTGATAATCCTTGATAGTACAGCCATTTTCCTTCTCCATTCATATTTATCAGGCTTTTTATTTCCTTGTTAGCTCCTGGTTGACTTGATGAGAGATCTCCTTGTAAAATAACTTTCTGCCCCTGTACCTCCCATTTGAAGGTCTGACTTTGGAAATTAATCTCTATGTCCCCCAAGCTTGCTAGCCAGTCCATTCCCAAGACTAAATCAGTGTCCCCCAGCTCCAGTAGATAATATGTTTGATGAATACCAATTCCTTGTACATTCAGATCGACACCTGCACATCTGCCACAGTTTGGAATACATTCTCCATTCCCTAACTGCACAGAGTATCCCTTTATCATATGGTCGGGTAACTCACATTTTCTCACTAACTCTTGAGAAATGAAGTTATGTGTTGCACCATTATCTATAAGGATTTCAACCTCCTGTTCTCCAGATTTCCACTTCAAAATTCCTTTCATCTTGAAGGTTTTTATGCTTGGAATCTCCTCCTTACTCATTGAGGACAATTGCATAGTTCTGAATTCCATTTCAATTCCCTCTTCCTCCTTGGTATTCTTCCTGACAGATTCAGCCTCTTCTTCTCCTTCAGAATTTTCCACAAGAACAATTTTTTAGTGTTTCATTTTGCAGATATGACCTCGTTCCAATTTTCCCCACATTTGAAACAGAGCCCCTTCTTGCTTCTGTTCAATAGTTTTTCTTGGGATAATTTGGGGCCATTCCTTATCATGTTCTGCTCTTGCACTTCAGAATTTATCTTGTTATCAACTGTAGCTTTGCCCAAACTAACAGAGTTGACAGGTTTGTTCCTCCATGTATTTCCATCTCCCTCTTTATGAGGCTGACTCTTACCCTGCCATTTCATCTTCTCTTCATCTTTGTTCTTCCTAATACAGACTTCATGGTTCTTGTTTTCAATCAAAGAAGCTGTGTCCATGACAGCAGCTAGGGTTCTAGTAGTATGTAGTTTCAATTCCGCCCTTATATCCCTTTTCAACCCTTTTATAAATACTCCCTTCAATACTTCTTCAGTCAAGTGTCCCTGAGAAGCAATGGCCGTCTCAAATTTATCTCTATATTCTTTGATGCTCCCCTTTTGTTTCAGACTGAGTAAAGGTCCTAAAGGATCTTGCACCAAGTTTGGTTGGAAACGTTTGGTCTGGTCAACGCAGCTGTAAATGATTCCCAGGTTTGACGATGTGTTTGCCCTTCCCACCATTGAAACCAGCTTAAGGCCTGGTCTTCCATGGCCACAACTGCAACGTCAATCTTATCCTCTTCTTCAGTCCTATTCAAGCGGTAGTAACGATCCATTCCATCCAGAAACATCTTCTCCATTAAAATTAGGTAAGTTGATCTTTCTACCTGTTTGATGATGATGACGTTCACTGTGATGATGACGGTGTTGATGTCGACGTGAAGGAGAATAGTCGGAATTGTTTTCCGATCCCTCTGAACTTGCTAATTGTCGCGAACGATGATGGTGAAGCGAATGGTGATGATAAGAAGTGTGATGCGATGCAGATGATCGATGCGATGCAGATGAGCGATGCGACCTACTTCTCGATCGATCTTTCGCATCCAATCTGGCCATAATCGCTGTCAACTTCTCCGTAGTCTGTTGCTGATTCCGATCCACCTTCTCATCCCATTGGTTTTGGTTGTTTTCCAACTCAGTCATCCGCAAATCCATCTTCGTCCGCGTTCAGACCATCCACAGAATCTACGGCTCTGATACCAATGATAGGACTATCTAGGGTTTCTGAAGAATTACAGAAAGAATAACAAGAAAACAGTTGAATCTCTATATTGATGGAGTTGATCGATTACAAATTACAGAAAGAGAGTAGGAAATCAATGGCCAAAGCCCCCCAAAGAGAGAGAAATAATTCTCAATCTTCCCAGTCAAGTCTAAACAGTCAAAACAGCCTCCTCAACCCTTCCTAGCCCTCTTCTATTTATACTCAACTAATACACTTATTATTATTAATACTCTAATAGGCCCGGTCCCTTATTATTAGTATTAGTCCATTAGTCTATTATATCCGTTTTAGTCCCGATTTTCGGTTTTTATTAGTCCCCAAACTCTTTTGGACTAAGACATGGATGTTGTTATTATTCTATTATACTCCGTGACTTGCATTTTGGAAACACCCCTAACCCCATATCGAATAACCTAATGTAACATATCAAATGTACTCATATTTGTATTTGAGAGTAATTTCAACTAAAATTATATTTAGGGTTGAATTAGTATTCAAGTTATTTGAATTCTTTGATTTCGAATAATGATTTGAATCAAATTTATTCAATGTGTTCACCAACAGCAAAAAATTGTAGAATCTGCTCATTTTTTCATAGTTTTTTTTTTAATTCGGGTCTTTTAGTTGTGGGGATATCGAAGGTAAGTTCTCATGGTTAGTATATGTGCTATGGTTAACCAACAAATAGTAGTAATTCGGGTCTTATAGTAGTGGGGATGTCGAAGGTAAGTTCTCATGGTTAGTATATGTGCTATGGTTAACTAACAAATAGCAGGAAGTTGTAGAGACATCCTCTGGGAGAGGTGTTTGATGCTCTACGCGGCATATTTGGTTCATCTTACTTCTCATCCTAAATAAATCTCTCATCCACATTTTCTGAGGGAGTATATAATTATTCTTGGTACGTCATACAAAATTAGAAGGGAATACTTGACCCCTATACATCCTTCTGGAGGGACCTTCATAGACCCTTGCCTTGTGGGGAGTGGTGAAGCCCACATGCACCGGCTGCCCCTTTTATGTGATGCAAATTTATTTTCTGTAACACGTATTTGTTAATTTTCCTTAAAATGAATCTTTAAAATGAACCAAACAGTAATGTCTTTTTCCTGAATTTCACCCAAACATTTTAAAATGGAAATGATTCCCGGATGATAAGCCACTTTTCAGAAATTGATTTCGGAGAACATTCCCAAACTTACACATTTCTAGCTTTGTTTTTAAAGGTCAGGTTAGAAAAAGAAAACCTCCCAATCAGATCCCTTGGTGCTACCCACGACTATATCCCAAATGTTTCCATTATCAGTTTTGACTAAAACAGTAAATCATGTGATTGAACTTTGCTAAATTTGGACCAAGGATTTGGACATATATATGTTTATTTTATACTCCGTATTACTATTGTGCATGCATTTCACATTCATTAAAATTGTTCTGTTCTTGCAAAAAAATTGTTCTGTTTTTATTACCATATATAGATAACCAACACTGGCAAAATATAAACATATTAATGCATCGGACATGTATAATAGTCTCAATTAACATCTGCAAGATGGAGTTTGCTAAATAAAATCATGAATAAACAAAGACTCTTGAAATTAGTTAGAAGTTAGAATTTTATATTCATGTGATTTGTCATCTAATTCAATGCCCCTTCCAATTACGGCAGGCTGGGGTGATTGAAGAGATGGTGAATGATGCAGTGGACGATGCTCTGGATACCGAAGACATAGAGGATGAAACCGAAGAAGAAATTGAGAAAGTGTTGACTGCAATTGCTGGTGAGACTGCCGCATCACTTCCTCTTGCCACCAGAAAGGAAAAGTTAAAGCAATCAACAGAAGAAGATGCAGAGGTAGTCTGATAAATTCACGCTATGTTTTTTCATACATTCTTATACTTCGTTGAATATTTGCGTTAACAAATGGATATTTTGCAATTTGTTATTCTAACAGGGTGCCAACGACGAGGAGTTAGAAGAACTTAGAGCACGCCTCGACAAAGTCCGGTCTTAACTTTCACCATGTAATCATTTTTTTAATTCCCCATGTATTAGAGATATTTTGCCCCTTTTGAACACCAGAAAATCAATATTTTACCATGTTTTCCTCCTCCATGTATCCATGGGCCCATGGCATTGCTGACCTAGTGACCTCTGTTGTAACGAAGCTGCATTGAGAGCTTCTCTTATGTATATATTTCCCCAAGACGTACTTGTTTGCATATACTTTGTGCTCACACACTATGATTGTAAACGAACTAAATTGAAGCAAATACACAAATTATTATTTGTATAATTCACAACAATTCATTTTCGTTTCATAATCCATTTTCATTTACTATTCATATTCGCTTTGATTTTTTATGTTTGAACATATATTCAGTTTCTATTCAAAAAACTAAAAAACTAGATGTCAGATTTCTATTCAGTGTTTTTTTACCTCAATACAACATGCATTTCATAAAAATTGAAACGTTTCTACGAGCAATAAGCAATCTATCAAAATTCAAAATGGATAACAAAAAATGACACCTCGTCCCAATCAGAAAGTTATCTCGGAGGATGTATATATTAAAATGGTTTTAAATAAATTAACAAAGAAGTATGCTGTTTAAATAAAGTATTTTCAAATTAAAGCGACTAAGCAAAAATTAATCAGACTCAAAAGATTTGTATATTTAATATATATGGTTTCTTGCCTCTAATGCTTTGTCTATACAATGGACTAGAAATGTTGAAAATGTATTTAATTTGGTAAAAAACACGGTAATATAGTAAAGTATTAGAGTATCTCCAATGGTAGAATGTGTACGGTGCACATGTGGCATGAGAGATAGTCACATAAATATTTGTAAATAAACTCTTTCTCTCCTTATGTTGGGTTAATGGCCCAAGTTGAGGTTCGGCCCATTTACCCTCTCTTCCGGATGTACGTCCAGATAGATCACTAAGCTAGCCTGGCAAGCCCATTTCCTCCAGGAGGGACGAATGTCTGTAATTGGGGTTTAGGCCCAACAGGCTCATCTCGACGAACGTCTATGCAGGGACGAAGGGCAGGAGCACGGGGCACCGGAATGACGACGAACGTCGTCGGAACAAGCCCCTAACCATCGGAGGCAGTCAGGTCAGCATGGCGAGAATCCACAAAGGCCAGGAGACGAACGGCCGATACTTCTTGGAGGCCATTTGGAGCAATCCAGCTCGCTCCCCGAGCGGACGAACGTCCCCACTAATTAGGCGGGAAACCTAGATTCTGGCGGGAAGTGCATTTAATGCTGAAGATTTGGTGGTTGGGACACCAGCGGACCACAGGCTTCCACGTCAGTGTAGCCACCTGCCCATTGGTGGGTATAAATAGAAGCATTTGTTTCATTGTAAAGGGTTGACAACTTTCTATTCTTAGCACTCTAGCTATAGCACTCTTACTCGCAGCATTTATACTGCCTTGTAAGACGAACGGCCGACGGAGCCTTAGCGAAAAGTATTGTATTAGGGAGTTATTAAGAGATACTAATACCTAATCACTTACTTGCTGCTTACTGTTTTTCCTTGATCCATATCACTTGCTTGCTGGGCTAGATATTCATACACACTCCACTCGAAATCCTTGGGCTTACGTGTTGGACCCGAGGGTTGAAGGAATAAACCTCAACACCTTATTTGAATGATTTTATACAAAATCAGTTTTGGTAAGTTTTTCTCCACAATGTCAAGGAGACCGTCTAGATGTTGACATTGACGTTGACATTGTAGGGAAAAACTTACCAAAATTTTATAAAATCATTCAAATAAGGAGAGAGATAATTTATTTGTTAATATTTATGTGGCTATTTCTCATGCCACATGTGCACCGTGCACATTCTACCATTGGAGATGCTCTTACGGAGTACTAAATAAAAATTGTACATAAGTTACTTTGACTAAGTTATCCCTATTATCATTACATATAAAAGTTCACATTTTTGTAAAGAGTTTTTATTTTAATCATATATATGTAATTATTTCTAATAGATTATAAATAAATTAAAATTTTGAATTTATCTCTCTGAAAAGTGATAATTTACGTTAATTTAATGAGATTTTTTCTAAAGTCATTATCATTATCATTACCCTAGTGCCGCAAAGGCTCCCACCTACGGTCGGTAAGGGAGGGTCGGATGTACGCAGTCTTACTACTATGCTCAAGCACAAAGAGACTGTTTCCGGATGATCCATAGTGAAAATCGCGTCAAATATTAAATGGACTGACTGTTGCTTCATAACTAAGAAACACAGATAGTTTAGTGAGCCATTTTTCTTTATTTCATCATATTCCCAAGCCAAAAAATAACGAGTCTTTGGCTCCATTTCAAACCCAAACCCTAAGTTTTATGATGTATAAGTTTTATGATGTAACATCTGAATACAATAATAGTCACTAAAGTTATCTAAGTCACATTTTTGTCCATTACTTTTTTTAATTATATAAAACCAGTAGGCCACGATAACAACAAAATTCGAGATAAACATGCATTGAGTGCAATTATTAGCTTTAAAAAAAAAGAAAATGAATTTTATTCAAGAGATAAGAAAGAGTTTACATGGGTGAAAATATATCCCGTAGTTAAAATGGTAAGAGAACCAGAGAGTGATAATCAATTATTACTAAATATAAATATATGAAAATAACAACTATAGAGAAACCTCATCTTCAAAATCCCCACAAGGCCACAATTGACTAGTTGAGTAATCCAGAGTAGCAATACTGCATGCAGTACGTGCAGCGCTAGAAGGGATTCGTTTGAAACAAGTAAGGGTTTGTTTGCAAACGTTACTCCCAAGCAGGGGCGGATCCAGGAACGAGGGGTGGGATGGGCTAAGCAGTAAAAATTTTCGTTACAGCACACAAAAGGTTTAGCTTATGAATGTTATTGAACTGAGTTTTTTTTCGAACTACTCGAGTTCGACCCCAATTTCGTTTGGGACTAAGGCTTGGATGTTGTTGTTGTTGTTGTTGTTGTTGTACTAGAGCTTCCATCTCGAACACGGGCTAGATTTTGAATTTGAATAGTTATTCAAGCAGAATTCGAGCATAATCATGTTCAGTTTGATCTGGACTCGAGCATATCGATAACTTATACTTCGTAAATTATAGGAATAAACTACTCCCTCCGTCCTGCTAAGATTGTTGACCAAGTATAAACTTATACTTGGTCAACAAATCACTCTTAATCTCTTACGTTCGGTTTTTGCGACTTTGTAAAACTTTTAATGTAATTTTTGAATATATAATTTTTTTTCTAAAAGAAAAAATGAGTGCGAATAGTGATCTGTTTGCTTTATCGTCAGTTAAGCATCTAAACCGAATTATCCCAATCTTAGTGGGACGGAAGTAGTATATATACTACCTCCGTTCGCTTTTATTAAGACTAATTTTTAAAAGAAGTAATGAAAAATTCAATTTTTTTAGAAGAATAAAAAATTCAATTATTAATCAAAGTGACTCCCTAACACTAAAACTCTAAAATGTTACAAATATATTAATACACAATAATGATAATACGGTATAAGTGTATAAAACATTCACAAATCACAAATTCACAATCTAACACAGTAGCTCCGAGTCAATCAAAATAAGAAATTAACAATATAAAAAAGAAATAGAATTTGGACTTTACTAAGTTACTTGGAGGCTGGAGTCCTAGAGGGAGGCAGAGGCGCAGTCGCAGGTTCAAGCTCGGACAGTCGGCGGCACGGCTGGAGTGGGCGGAGGACGTCGGCGGCACGACTAGAGTTCACTTCTTCGTCGCAGTTCTTCATCGTTCTTCGCAGTTCGCACAATCGAGCTCCTTCGTCCTATTCGCGTAACTGCGTAAGTACGCCGAGAAGCGCAAGTATGTTTAGTGCTGGGCTGTGGGCTGACTGGGAATTAACTTTGGGATGGGCTGAGAATTAATTTTGGGGTGGGCTGAGAATTTAACATATACCTATACTAACTAAAAGAAAAATATTTGGGCTGGGCTGAAGCCCACCCCTGCCCTAACTATCATCCGCCCCTGCTCCCAAGTGCTTTTTACTTTTTAAAGTGATTTGGAGAAAAGTGATTAATAGTAAAAGTTGATAGTGTTTGAGAAAAAAGTGATTTTGAAAAGTAAAAGTTGGTAGTGTATGGTAAAATAAGTACTTTTTGTGTAATAGAAAAAATAAAAAACACTTTTTGCCCAAAAGTCGAGAAAAGTTTTTTTAAGTAGAAGTTGTCACTTGAAAACACTCTTTTTAGCTTTTTAAGCCAAAAACTGAAAAGTATTTTTTTTCCAGTGTTTGCATACAAAGCCTAAAACCGGGAATTGTTCTAAGTTTCTATCTTCTAGGAGTTTCCAATAATATGTTATAGAATATCAAAATAAAATAAATGGATCAAATACGACTAGATAAAGTACATAATAACCTAATATGAAATTAGGAGTAATTGTAATTTAGGCAAGTCTCTTATTATAAATATATCCGGTAGCTGAAGACATTAAATTAGTAGGCACATTTCTGACAATCAGATCTCCATGAGTCACAATTTTTTTTCTTTTAACCCGGAAGGCAAACCACCCATCGGTGGGGCAAATGACAGGGAACATTTGCCGTTATTTTATTAAAAATAGAATTGAGTACAAAAAGAGAGGGGGACCAAACCAAAGCCTCCCTTCAGAGGCATTCCTCTGAAAAATACATGAGTAAGTACAGAATAAAAATATATGAAATTTTGGGGGGGGGGGGGGGGGGGGCTAGACCTGACCCAAAATTAAAAATACATGGATTAATAACGGAAATAAGGTAAAGAGAAAAGATCTGTGTAATATCTAGTTTTAACTGCATAAGGTAACCGGTCCACCTAGTCAAAAATTCCATCTGGGCATTATTTATTTGATGGGCTGCTAAGTTGTGGGCTGGCCCATTTCCCTCTCAGTAGATATGTCCGAAAGTCAGATCCAACTGCCCCGCCTTCCCTCTGAATGTCCGAATCCCAGTATACATGCCTAATCTATCTTTGTTAAGCAGAGACAACGAACGAGAAGCGTCCGTTTCTACTGAAACGGACAAAGTAATAATAAATCTGGATATGCTTGCTTCGAGCATACTGAACTGGATTTACAGTCAAGTAAGAAGCAGAAATATTATCACAAAAGAGATGAATAAGTGTCGTGACAAGCTCGGAATCCAAGCTCAAACAGAATAGATCGAATATGCAATGTGTCCTGGACAATGTAAGCAATACTCTGCTTCTTGGACTTCCAGGACATGATATTGGGCCCCAAGAAAACAAC